TAGGAAGTCAGCTGTCAGTCACATTAGCACTTTGAAGGGTAACTTAAATTAACTTCTTTTGGTCCTTTTAGTGTAATTTTCTTTTTGATTTGTGATGTTTTTTAGAATGTTACTATTATGCAAGTATAAAAATATAAATGTAATTAGATGTCTCTATTTCAGAAAAATTTCCAATGTTTATCTCTTCAAATTTACTTATTTATGTTTTTTCACCAAAATTCTGGGCTTCCAATTAAATATGTTACTGCAAGCACTAAATTACCTGTTTCTCTACTTCATATAGTTTTTCAGTTTTTGTCTTACTCTTTCATTCTATTTTCTCTTCTGAAAATCTGTTAATATACCATTTCTCTCTTCAGCTATGTTTAATCTGCTATGAACTTTAAGATCTTAATTTCACCTACTATATGATTAAAATGGTACTTGTACTTAGTTCTTATTTTCCATGACCCTGGTAAAATATCATGATTCCTAATTCCCTGTGAATTTTTTTAAGTTTGCCTCTTAATCATAGAGTGTGTACATTTACAATACGCATCCAATAAGTCTAAGTTGTAAAGTTACTGTATTTGATTTCACCATGTCTTTCATATATTGTCCAGCATTTCAAATGTTTCATATATTTNAAACCTAATTTAGGTAAAGTGTGTGTAATTTAAATGTAACTGCATGACCTTGAGGAATCACTAGAGAATCTGGACTGGGGATTTGCAACAAGCTACAAACATGGCAGTTGGAAGAACGTCCCTACTTCCTCATTTAGAATATCATTAATTTTAATTCATTCAATCATGTGGGAAGGTTGAAAATATTGATCTTCTGGTCTTGGAAATGCAACAATAATAACCTACAATTTGATTCATTATGTATTTATTAAAAACATAAAATTTCCAAAATTAACAAAGGAAAGACCATAACCCAATTTCAATAAATCAACTTAGTATGTTTAGTAAATTGTGTTTCTTCAGTTTCTCTCAGCAATTTTGTTTTCGCACATCTGATTTTTTTTGCAAATAACATACTCACCATCATTCTGCATATAGACTTGATATGGCACCCTTGTCATTTTGTATTTTACCTTCCCATTCCTTTTTATTAAAATTCAGGTTGAATATGCATTTATCAGTGAGGCATTTGATAGGTATGTTGAATAATATAGTGTATTGATTTTCTGTTGCAGAAATTTTTTCAGAAATTATATCAGAAAATTTATAGTGATATACCCTTACACATCTATGTGAATGTGCACATATTTTAGACAAATTCTTCCCAATTATATTTTGTAAAAATATTTTCTATTCACTTTTGTTTTCTTTGTGTGTCTGTGTGTTCTGTTTTTGTTGTTTTTATTTTTTACTGTATTTTCTGGGCGAGCGGATGATCTAACTTTTTTTTATTTTTTACTGTATTTTCTGGGCGAGCGGATGATCTAACTTTTTCCTAAATTTATTTTTTGAATTGAAACATAATTAATTATACATATTTATGTGGTACAGATTGACTATCATTATTTGTGTACAGTATGTGATGGTCAAATCAATATTATTAGCAAGTTCTTCATACAAATTGTAATTATTCTTTGTGTCACTTACCCGATCTCTCCCTAAGCTACTTTCCCCTCTCCCT